TTGCACATCGATCAGCTTTCTCGATATAAACTGGAACGCAGTCCTAGTTCTCAACACACTTTTTTATACGCGAACAAGAACCTGAGAACATCCATCTTTTCTCTACTTTACGAAAGAAACACATTCAAACACATTCTGCGAGAAAGCTCCGAAAAAAGAGACTCAATGAAAGTATGAAAGAAATTGAGTGCAACTTTAGAAAGCCCTCGTTTTTCTCCTTCTGCCGAGCAAATGTGATGTGAAGCCAATTTGTCGCGTGTGCAGACAGATATTAGAGACACTTTTGCATGTTCTAGGAAAAGAGTGTACAGTAATGACAAGATATGGAATGAGATTAAATGTGGCGTTTATCCGCATCATATCTTCTTTTGATTTTCTGTAGGGCAATTTTGAGGTGCGAAACTGTAGACATCGCGAAGTTGTCAAAGGTGTTAAGTAGGCAGTGACGACGTTTATGTTACAATATTCTCGTCCGGAAAATAATGAGCGGTTTATCGTAGTGACATACTCGATAGAAATTTTGGATCGTCCAGCTGAGTTGTTTGCAGTAGATGTATAATATTTCCCTTTCTAATATCAGTTACCTTTTTCATGGAAGCTGAGTATCTTTTGTATGTTTATGTGTGTGTCTCTGTGTCCGTACGTATTCTCTTAAAGAGATTTTTATCTTCAAATCGATGCGGAACAAACTTCGCAGATACACTCCAGTGCCACAATTGTCAGCGGTCGATATCGATTTCATCGATTTTTTGCCAATCTTGCATATAGAATTGTGGCAGCGAAGGGAAGTGAAAGTGTAGAAGTGGAACCGAATGGCGAGATGTACCACCTTACCAAGCAAAACCGAGTATCCCAAAAACGCTAAGTAGTTTGGCAGCAAACACTGCACTGCGCAGTCCATGAAAAATAGTTTTTTTAAAATTTGTATACACTCTTTCTAGCATCGATCCAGCATTGTGCACAATAGTACCTGTGTTATATGCTGCCATCTCTACATATCAGAATTTGACGATTTGCACTTTGACCCCAACTGCACTTCGATATCCAAGTGGAGCATACTTTTACCTTGGGCTCAATTTGTTTTTCCGAGTCCAAGCAATGAGGAAAGGAGGACCACAATCATACCGTTTCCATGTAGTTAGCACTAGATATGGGTCAGAATTATGCAGTAATTTTAAAATAACTTGTGTGAACTGGACTACATGCTTGCCTTGGATAGGCGTTGAATTGGCATACACCGCCGTTTCGAGAAGTACGTGGTTGTTGCGCCCCACATAAGATTTCCGTAAAACTTTGAAATTTTCCTGATACGTATTACGCTAAATCATTCGGCTTTGCCGCAACTACAATGCAATTAATTGCTTTTGGAATATGATAGAACGCAATGGATCGTGATAGATTTTATGTAACGATGTCGCTAAACTATGCAGCACTATTGCCTGTCGTTTCAAAACCCTAAGTTCGAGAATTCAAAGCGAGAAATCTTCATTATAGCCACCGTATAGTGTGATTATGCATGATGTATTCATTATATATAAAAATGCTACACAAGAAAGACACATCGCGATCACCAGTCGGAGCCTACGTTACCAATGTAGACATTTAATTGAGAACTTGACGTCGCAGTCTCAAGTGTTGGAGCAGTATTCTAAAAAAATCATAGTTTGAAACTTGTTATCGTGCTTCAGCGAGGTTAAAGCTTTACCTGATTGAGCGCATTATATACACACTGCATAATCTGTGCCCATTTTTCACGCGTAAATAAATTACGGTACTCGGGCTGTTGTGAGATGTCGTCCAGTTCTTGGACACTCGTGCTCATCAACAACTGTCGTCTGAACATGGTGTCTCGTATCAGGAGTTGGCGCCAGCGACCTGTAAGTTCAAAGCTGAGGGCTCAGACTTCATTCTCAACTGGGACAGTTTTGGCACCAGACCTAAGTGAGCGTAAATTATCTGACGCACGATAGAGTGCTATAGCGAACATTTAGAGTCATAGAAAGTTGAACATAACTCTTTACGAACTCTTCTTGGGAGATAATTGTTTTAATCAACGCTCAACTGACCCATTTTTAGAAAAAAGATGCACACTACATAACTTACCAAGTTCCTGCTCTGTCAATTTTCTAGCGCCAAATCCACGAATAGGTAGAACACACTTCTCCAACACCTCCACCGAAGGAACCTCGCGGTGTTCAACTAGAAGTTCCCCTGAAGCGCTTTCATTCACAGTATTTCTTTGGAGAAGCAATGTTATTTACCTTTAT